GGGGTGCAGCAGGGCTGTCCCACGCCAGCTGGCTGCAGGCTCCGAGGAGCTTTGGCCAAGCCAACCTCTTCCCACAAGCACGCGCCCCTTCCCGCCCAGCAGGCTCCAGCCCCACATCCTGGCAGCCCCTGGCCCCTCGGGTGCAGGTTGTTTGTTAGCAGGGGCAAGGGCACGGCCCAGCCTTACGGGAACTCGTAGCAGCAATCGCTGGCCAGTGCCCAGCTGGACGTGGGTGGCCAGCAGCAGGGGCACAGGGCTGATGAGCACTGCCTGCTGCCATCAGGAGCACAACCAAGGGGCAGCACAGATGGAAGGGAATGGCCACCCAACCTCTTACCTACCCCAGGGAGGCAGTGAGGCCACCACAAGACCGTGTAGGGGATGTGGGGCCAGCCCCAGTCCCAAACCGTCGAAGCCTGGCCTACTGGGGGTCTCACCAGTGCCCCAGAGATGCTCCAGTCCTTCAGGCTCACGAGGGACATCTGTGCCTGGTCCCAGACACTCCAGAAGTGGGCTTTCCCATCCTGTCCCAGCTTCTTCCCATTTCATGGGGCACCTGTCCCCCTAAAAAATGCAGGGCTTGAGATCCCTGGCCCAGCACCACTCACACGTGAAACACAGAGGGGTAGAGTCCAGGGCAGGACACATCAGGACTTCATTGGAGCTGACCCATGAACCACACCAGCAGTTGGAAATTTGGGATTCGATGATAGCAGGCTGATAGCACTGTCCCACTGCACCAGGCTTGTCCCTCTGCAGGGAACTGCCACGTCCTGGCAGGAGGGAAACAGCAACATGCGACTGTGCCTTGGTGCCCACTCGGCGGCCCCAAGGTTAGCTCAGCCAAAGGGAATGCCTGCGGGAATCATAGAATCACAGAATGGTTTGGGTTGGAAGGGACCTTAAAGATCATCTAGTTCCAACCCCCCTGCCATGGGCAGGGACACCAGGGAAGGTGGGGAAGCTGCCCCAGCTTCTCTGTGGGGCACAGACCGCAGCTTCTGCGAGGGGCTAGGGCAGCACTGGGCTGCACTCAAGGCCAACACAGTCTCCAAGCCACAGCCACAAATCAGCTGCAGAGCACAGGGAGTGCCATGGGACAAGGTGAAACTTCAGCGCATGCTTCCACAAGCATGACAGCCACCTCCAGACTGGGAAAGCAAGCACCACCCAGGCCTTCTCCAGAGAAAGCACATCAAAACCTTGGCCAATGGACCAGGTCACATCTATGCTACAGCAGCAATAAGCACTACCTGTCCGATGCAGAGACTCTGGGAAACGAAGAGGCTGGTGCGGAGGGCTGCGGGGGAGCAGGGGGGGTGACAGCCCTGACGAGAGCTGAGGGGCACCGGAAGCAGGGTCAGCAGTCACACTCCTGTAAACAGGTTTGGTGGAGTGCTGTGATGCAACCCTGCTCTGTGGGGTGGATTGCAAGAGGCTGCAGAGGGAACGCCCTGCAGGTCAAGCTGCGTTGCTCAAGAAAGGCCCGAGATGACTGCAGGGAGTGTGGGGTAAAGCAGCAGTCAAGGCTGGAGGCCCCAGAGAGAAAACTGACAGCCTCCAGAAGCATGAATGAACAGGGCCTTTCAGTAACAAGTGACAGGGCACAACCACAGCTGTATCCAAACATCTACGTACCAGCAGCAAAGGGAAGAAATGGTGCCCAGCACCTCCCAAGGGCCCAGCCTCAGGCAAAGGTCTCTGCAAGGGGGGCCCTGGTGAGCTTTGCATGAATCCAGAGCCCAGCTACCCTGTGGCTTCTACCACCGAGAAAAGATACACCGACCGGGAACAACATGAAGAGAGCTCATCCCGCTCGGCAGAGGACAGTCAGGACGTGTCCCTCTGACCCAAGGGGTGTCCCCAGAGCAGCACACAGAACCAGGAAGCCAAACATTTATTCACACTTGTGCAGGACCCAAGGGCCTGCAGGTTTCTTACAGGACCGTGTGCGGAGAAGGGAGGAGGGCAGGGAGCGAGGATCAGCACCAGCCAGGGCAGGCAGCACAAGCTGTGGGGTCCCTGGCAGACTGGGAAGCCCAACCCACAGGAAAGTCAAAATACAGCCCTGAGCAGCAGCACCAGTGTGGAGGCCCGCTCCCTACCAGTGCAGCCCCACTTTCACCCATCACTGACTCTTCTCAGGGGCTTGGGATCAGGACCTTGGCTCACTCCCAGCCTGCCCATCACTGGAAGTGTCAGACCTGTCCCTGTTTGGCCACGGCTCCTCTCGGTTAGACCTTTGTTCTGCGGAGTGTCAGCGCTGGTGATCTGCTCCAACTGCCTCCATGATGTTCTTGAACCCCTGTTCCCTAACCAGAGACAGCACGTGACGGCAGGGCTGGCCCCACACTGCGGCTCAGCTGCACAGTGCCGCTGCTTGTGCACCGGCATGCAGCTTCCCCGAGCCCCCCGGAGTCCAGGGGCTGGCTGGGGAGGTGCCGGTCCTTCACTCACCTCAGCAGCTCCTCCAGTTCCCGCTTCACTGCCCCCACCACGGGCGGCCCGCGGTACACGAGCGCCGTGTACAACTGCACCAGCGAGGCTCCAGCACGGATCTTCTCCAGGGCATCGCGCCCACTGCTCACCCCACCCACCCCGATGATGGGCACCCGGCCTGCGGGCAGGCACCAGGTCAGGACAGCACGGGTGACACCAGCACGCACCCTAGGCCTGGCTCTGCCCCTACCTCGGGTGAGGGCGTACATCTCCCTGATGGTCTGCGTGGAGAGCTCCCGCAGGGGCTTCCCGCTGAGGCCCCCGGGCTCTGTGCGCTGCTCGCTCCGGAGGCTGCTGGGGCGGCTCACAGTGGTGTTGCTGACAATCAACCCATCCACACCTAGCTGAGGGGGCAGCAGTATGAGGACACAGCTGCCACGAGCAGACCCCCTTCTCACCCCCAGGCTGCCAGGCCAGGAGTGCACCAGCAAGCGCCTCAGCAACGTGCTCAGGGACAAAGCAGCTGCCCCTCACTGCCTGGACCATCCCCAAGGTCTGGGTGACGCAGACAGGCCCTCGCGGACTCAGAGCTATCCAAGACACCGTCCCTACAGCAGCCAGAGAGCTGCAGCTCCGCCTCACCCTTCAGAGGTAACCTGCCAGGAGCACTGCGGTCCCTCCCTCACGCCACACGAGGTGAGGCAGGAGGCACCCTATCCAGTTTCCTCGCCAGCCCAGCTCCTCGCCAGCCCCCCTTCCCACCTCCTCACCTCACAGACAACGCTAGCAATGTCCTGCTTGTCCTGTGCAGTGAGGTCAGGGGCAATCTTCACCAGCACCGCTGGCTTGCGCTCACAGGGCAGCATGTCCCTCTCCGCCAGCACCTGCAGGAGGGACAGATGGTGGCACAGAGCAGCGTGTGGTGGGGGAACAGCTCCTGCTGCAGAGCAGGGAGATGCGTGCACCCACCACCACAGGCAGCACAGGGAGAGGCCCTGCTCTCCCCAGGGAATGGGCACCCTGTGGCACAGGGCCTGGGACACACGAAGCACACAGGAACACAGTGACTCCCAGTGCTGTGGGGTGGGTGGCTCACTGCCCCCATGCAGGAACAGTGTGGACGGCAATGCCTCACTGCTTATATGCCCTTTGCTCACATGCCGGGGGAACCCCACGCCAGCAGCTGATCAGGGGACATCTCGGTGGCTCTGCCCACTACGCTCCTCCCTGCCCTGGGGCAAACCCGCTGGCTGGAGCAGAGCGGGCACTGCCAGGGAAGGGGATGCATCCAGTACCGCAAGCGTGGTCCAGGCTGGCCGTGAAGGTCACGCACCTTGGTCAGCAGATCCCGTAGCTCAGCCTTGCCCTGCAGGTTCCGCAGCCCTGGGGTGTTTGGGCTGGACACATTCACAACCAGGTAGTCAGCCAAAGGGCCCAGTGTCCGGACCCCAGCCACGTAGTCAGCTGCAGCATCAGCAGAGCTCTTGTTCTTGCCCAAGTTGACTCCAAGGGGCATCCCCGCTGAAACACAGACAGGGCTGAACCAGGGCAGCAGGACCAACCACCACCAAAGGGGCCAGAGTGCCCAACAGTGGAGGCCCCAGGACCAGCTAAAATCAATATGGCGATATGCAGCCCACAGGTTTCATGGGAGTGGGCCTGGGACTGTCCTGCAGCCACAGGAGTATCAGAACAGCTGCCCTGGTCAGCATTTACCAGCACGGGCACCAGGCGGAGGCTGCCCTCAGAACCTGGAGCCCTACTGGCTTTGGCCAGTCTCAGCAGGCACGTCCTGCCCGAAGCAGCGAGCAGAGAAAACGGCAGGAGGAAGATGCCTGGTCACACTTAAGGGGAGCAGCTACAGCCCCACGGGAGTTCCTGCTGTCTGAGCGCACCTTGCTCTTGGCAGGGCCTTCCCATGCCCGGACACTGGTGTTACACACCTTTCCTGGCCTACAGCTTCCTGGGAGACCCCCAAACCCACCCTGCAGACTCCAAGAGCTTATAAGTTTGTCTCACCACCAGTGAGCCTGAGCTGCGTCTCCTGGCGGGCCCGCAACCTCTGCTCCACCGCAACGTGGCCGTGGCTGTTGAATCCATACCTGCACCGGAACAGACAAGGCTCAGGCCGGGGCTGGTGTCCACAAGCCCTGAGCAGGACACAGGAGAAACACATGGGAGACACGTGGTTGCTGCAGCTGTGCTCGGCGCATCCAACCCACAAGCCACCACAGTACAGACCACAGAGCCGGGACCACCCAAACAAACGCCCTTCCTCTGGAAGGGCAGTGTGTGGGACACGGCAGGAGTGGCCACCTGCAGATCCCACCTGTTGATGACCGCCTCGTCCTCCACCAGACGGAAGACCCTAGGTTTGGGGTTCCCCTCCTGGGGCTCGGGCGTGACAGTCCCTACTTCCACAAAGCCAAACCCCATCTTGTACAGCCCGTCGACAGCCTCGCCCTGCTTGTCGAAGCCAGCCGC